CCACAAAACCAAATGCCCACCCCTAGATTTATAAAAGATATATGGGTAATTTAGGGTCTTTTTATGAATTTTGCAAAAATTTAAGGTTTTTTTATGAATATTTAAGGTTTTTTATGAATTTTACAGCACTTTAGGGTTTTTTTGCAAAATAAATTTAATTAAAATTGTGGGGCCCAGTGAAAATATATCACCTTGCACCCTCTTAGAACCGGGCCTGGATAGCACCATAGACGACGAGTAAACTTTCTTAACAAAATGAAAAGCACTAGAAATTAAAGGAAAAGCGTTTTAAGACTATTTCACAAAAACCAAAGGCTCAAAATGAGTTTCAAGCTTATAGAATCCATAATTACTGCCTCAAATAGATACCAACACACAACTCTTTCATCAAACCCCAACTCCTCACACATACCTCTTTATTACACAAGAACACATCATCAACACACAACACACAACGAACTTGAGATTAACACACACCATTCATCTTCTTCCTGTCCGTGACAAACTTCCTCCACCCAACAATAACTTCCATGAGTATCTCCCTCTCTACCTTCTTCGCTTTCCCATCTCCCAACAGTCCTTCTGTTCCCATCTTCCTAGATATCTTGGAAGGCAAGGTATCTAGCTCATGAAGCACCTTCACAATATCCGCCACAAGTCGCTCTGCGAGTGTTCTTGAGAAATCTTCCCTTATGACAACACGCAGAACCGTGATGTGTTGCGCATCCGCAGGCATAGTGTAAGCCGGGACGATCCAGCCGAAACGGCGAAGCATCTCGGAGATCTCGAACTCGTTGTGGAAACTATGGTCCTTGAGAGAGAAGGCAACGAGTGGCACTCCTTCGTCCTTTGAGACTATGTTGAAACGCTCTGTTTTCTCTAACCCTTCTTTGAGAACCACCATGTTCTCTCTGCAGTTTTCCATCACATTCTTGTACCCCTGTTTCGAATAACAAAAATTCAATTACGCATCAAAGCTTATATGTGTAACAAAGAGTAATTCTTTCTTTATATTTTGGTAAAAAAAAAAATTTCCATATATGCTCTCCGATACATATTTCATAAAGTGAATAAATTAGAACCAAAACCCCGGACTAATTAGGACACGGTTGAAAATGTAAAACGACATAATTAACGATGTAAAAACCAACACTAAGATCTTTTCTTTTTGGTTTCGATAGACTCACCTCGAACCCTAGACGAATAAGCTGGTAGTATTGAGCAATAATTTGGCTCGATCCTACATCAACCAAAAACGTTCATCACACTTCAAAATAAATACCATCATATTTTCAAAGATTAGGCATCGAGAAAATGAAAGATACATACCCTTGGAGAAATTGAGGGTAAAAGTGGGTTGGTCAGCACCAAGATAGTTAATATGAAAGATGAGCTCATCAGGCAAATCCGCTTGTGCCCTCCACACGACCCAACCAATACCAGCATAGACCAATCCGTACTTATGACCACTCACATTGATACTCTTCACCAAAGGCAGCCTAAAGTCCCATTCCAATTCAGGATAGATAAACGGAGCTATGAAGCCTCCACTTGCCGCGTCCACGTGGATCGGTGTGTTCCAACCAGTTTCAGCGTTCTTCTTGACCAGCAAGTCGTTAAGACGCTTGACGTCTTCGAACTCACCGTTGAGTGTGGACCCAAGTATGGCTGCGACACAGATTGTGTTCTCGTCTACCATTTCTGCTGCTTTGTCTGGATCCATCACGTAGTAACCTTCACTTAGCTTCACTTCTTTTAGCTCTACCTCGAAGTAACGAGCAAATTTCTCCCAGCACACCTGAAAATATTAATTGTTCTAATTAAAACCTTCTTTGTAATTATATATATGATTAGAATGTTTATTCTTAAAATAGCCAAAAAAACTAAAATTGATTTCAATCTGAACTGAAAAAGGGGGAACAAAAATGAACTAGAATAAAATTTGTATTTGAAAATAAGGATTTGTTTGATTAAAAAAACTGAATCTGAAACGAAAAATAGATTCATATTCTAGATTCGGTTAAACCAATATCGGGAAAACCATGCAGATACTTAAGCATTTTATATATTTTTGTAGAGTTAAATCTAAAATCTTGGTACAATAAAAAAATATATGTAAATATGTGTAAGAAAACGTAGATTTGACTATTGATTCTCTAAATTCTAAAATGTCAATCGTGGTATAATACTCGATCTAAAAAGAAAATATGTTTTTGGAATATTTTTCTAGATATTTTATGTACTATTATGCTAACTAGTAACTAGACGGTCTAGACCCACTTAAAAGGTTCAAAATAGTGAAATGAAGATACATATCTCACCTGAACATTGGCTCCGGTGACAATGTTGGGTTTGTCATAGGGTTTACCCTCGGCTTTGCGTTTGTTCTGCCAATTCCTTTTGAAGGCCAATCCAGCTAACATGATGGCTTCTGAAGATCCAACCGTTCCTACTCCCACCGCAGTCTCTGTTTCGCCAAGAGGCGCGTTGAACAATCTAGCTATCATGTTTACACATCGGTTCTGTTTTTCCAGTAAATTCAAAATTATTATTTATGAGCGCAACTTTTGTAACCAATAACAACTAGTATATATTTTTTTGAAACTTAAAAACAAAAACAACGTCTAAAAACGCTCATCATTCGTTTCTTCATTTTATATTCTAAAAACGTCTCATGCTACAAATTACAAGAATGATATAGCTCCAATGGATCGACTTCGAAATATGAAAAATGAATTCTATGCAAATTAATTTTCACACTATTCATTTTCTCTTTAGTTCCTTTGTCAAAATCTTTCTCTCTTTACTAGCTTAGTTTGTTCTTCATATACTATTGTTAAAGGGCTACAATTTTTAGGATTATTAGATGATATATCAACATAATAATCGCCAGATAGTATTCTAAAATATTCTACTATGATCGTGTACACATAATCACACTTGACTACTCACAATGGGCTGTTGTAGAACAAAATTAAACAGTTGAAAGGATGCTGAGCTAGTTGAATTAGGGTGTTGATAATATGTGGTAAATTTTGTGTTGATAAATTGCAACACCCGTTGAAATCAGAAAAATGAGACCATCAGTGCCACAAGACGTGATTTGGATGGACAACGTTTAGTGCGTGTATTTCACGCATCCAGCAGCCGCGTGAAAAGCACCCAGAACAGCCCCACCCACATTATTATATCACATGTGCTATTTTGATTGGTTGCTGAAATTTTTTAGGCTTTTACTTTATTCTAATTATTTGGACTAAATTACTTTTTCCGTTTCAAAATGTAAATTGTTTTGGAGATTTTTTTTGTTTCAAAATGTAAATTGTTTTGATATTTGCTAAACTTTATTGAATATTGTGTGACCACTAATATTTTGCAGTCTTTTATATGATTGATCAAATTATTTTTAATAAATATATCAAATAATATTTTTTAATAGAAAAATAATTTTTTAATATCTGCGTTTTTAACTAAAACAAATTATATTTTGAAACAGAGGGAGTATTTGATAGTAAATTATTGTTTCTAAAAATAAAATG